GCGAATATTGCACTGCTTTAGAAATGGCAACGAGGAAAGGGAGCAGTTCAATGGGACCCACACAGCGGTCAAAGCAGAAACAGCTGGATGCCAGGGCCCTTCCCCGGAAGGGGCGGAGCCTGCATCCACAAGCTGACCCTATGCCTCTGATTCCGGGCCACCTGAAGTCTAATTGGCCTTCTTGCGTGGACGTTTGTTTTTCCAGCCTTGTGGAAACTTTCCGAGTGCTACTTTTAAAAATCTCCCCTTAGGGGCGCCTGGGTGGCTCAGTCGGTTGGGCGTCCGACTTCAGCTCAGGTCATGATCTCGCGGTCCGTGAGTTCGAGCCCCGCGTCGGGCTCTGTGCTGACAGCTCAGAGCCTGGAGCCTGTTTCAGATTCTGTGTCTCCCTCTCTCTCTGACCTTCCCCCATTCATGCTCTGTCTCTCTCTCTGTCTCAAAAATGAATAAACGTTAAAAAAAATTAAAAAAAAAATCTCCCCTTAGTCTCTGGTAATATAGGCCTCATGGTAAGACAGAGCACAAACTTCAGAGTCAGGTGTCTGCCCCTGACCACACGCTGTTACTTACCAGCTCACTGGGCGGCCGTGGGGAGGTGCATCAACCTCTCTGGTGGCCAGGTTTCTCACTCGTGAATAATGACAGTGACCAACATGCATCAGGCACAGTTCTGTGGGTTTTAAGCATATTAAGTCATGTAACCTTCATAACCAAATTAGGAGGGAAGTTCTACTATTTGCCTGAATTTACCAGAAAATTGAGGCATGGGGCGGTTGGGTACCTCAGGTGCAGATAGACACTTTAGCTCAGTGGTCCTCAAACGTGAGTGATTTTTGGCCCCCAGGGGACATGGGGGGCATTTGGGGTTGTCACAACTTGGGGGTGGCCCTGGAATCTATTGGGTAGAGGCCAGGGATGCTGCTAAGAATCCTGCAGCGTACGAGAGGAGCCCCCCTGGCAAAGAATGATCCAGCCCCCGCTGTCAGAAGTCAGAAGGTTGAGAAACTTTGTTCTAGCTCCAGAGCCCAAGCTCCCGACCGCTGTGCCGCCTCCCAGCTGATATCGTGACAACACTCTTCTCTCGGGATCCCTGCAACAGGCCGACAGCGTCATTAACGTGCGTGTCACCAGTGCAGCGCCTGGTGTGGGCTTTCTGCTAACTGGCTCTTCTCCTAGCAAGGTCACAGGAGTTCTAGGTGACCAGGTTCTGCTTTGCAGCGTGACCGGACAGCCACAGAGCCCCGGCTGCATTCTGGCCTTTGTATATCAAACGTTTGGAGTCCATTATCGATCCTTGAATTTCCTCGCCGGGCTGAATAACTGCTGTTTGTCTTTGTGTTTACAGTTGATTTGGGAATAAGTGTCAAGGAGGATAATGCGGTCACTTCTTCCCCCGAGACAATGGAGATGAGCGCTGTTGCGGATGCCAACGGAAAGAATCTTGGGAACGAGGCCAAAGCCGGGGCGCCAGCTGCTAAATCTCGTTTTTTCTTGACACTCGCTCGGCCTGTACCAGGACGTGCTGGAGACCAAGCCACGGATGCATCCACTGGGTCAGTGAAGCTTGATGTCAGCTCCAATAAAGCTCTAGGGAACAAAGAACCAAGTGAGAGCGTGACTCTTCCGGGGGCAGCTGCACGGGGGCACGACCCAGATAAAACCCCGGGGCAGAGCCCAGCCGGGGACGAAGGCGTCTCTGCCACTTGGGGACCAGCGCCCGTCTCACCTGAGTCAGGGGGAGCAGCCCCCGCCAAGCCTAAGGACTCCGGCTTTTTTGACAAACTCTTCAAACTGGACAAGGGACGGGAAAAGGCACCAGTGGACAGCCAACAGGAAGCCAAGAGCGCGGAGCGTCAGGACCAGGCCGAGGAAGTCCCTGGATTGTCAAGGCCTCCCGATGATGTCCCTGCAGAGAGGGTAAGTGCTGACGAGGGACGATCCCTTTTGTTAAGCTCCGGTGGGGAGGGAGCTCTGATGGGGTAAGCGGATGGTGTCTATATTGCTCTCCAGTCGCCAAGGGGCCCCGACAAGGTACGCAGCCCTCTAGAACAAATGGCACATTGTAGTGTCCCCCATGTTCCTGTGGACAGAAACATCTGTTTGAAGAACAATAACAGCTGTGGCATCTGTTTTATGTAAAAGAAGAGAGGAGGTGAGTTACATACAGATGAATCCGTCCTTCCATTTATCAAAGGTAGAGGAAGACAGGTTGCATTTATGATCAATGGAGTCTGGAGGGAAAGGCCTTAGCGGAATAAAAACGGTTCCTAAAAGACTTAAATACCTCTCCTGGCCTCGGTAGCTTGTTTCACAACCAGCATGTTTATAGGCTTTTGTTGGAATACATTTCATTTCTTATTTTTAATAGCCTGGATTGATCTTTAACTATCTTTTGCACCAAAGCATGGGTTTAAATAAAGAGCTTTTACAGCTCTGGGCAGACCCTTTTATGTACTAATTATTTTCCCACAAGCTGGGGTCATATCTTTGTAAAAACTAGATATTTTTAAAGGAGGTATTCCACATCAGCTGCTTTCTTTCCTGCACAAAGAAACACGAGTTCTTTTGATCTGAAAAAGAGCATTTGCTTTTTATCTTGAGTTTGTTTGTGTTCGGCGGAGAAAAGAAACTCCTTCAATGAAGAAGGAAATAAAAGTTGATACACTGTGTTTCAAGGGAAGTTGCTAATAACACTGGCTGTCATGTATTGAGCACTGACAGTATACCAGGCTCTGTTCTAAGCGCTGTACGGATATATTATTCTCCATAAGGAAAATGAGTATCACCTCAGTCTGTGGTTTCAATGCACGCAGGACTGTGTCAAACATTATACTGTAAATGTCAGGCACCAGCTGTAAGTTCTGGAGAGTTAAAATTGGGGAAAAGTCATCAGGTTCGTGGGTTCGGGCTCTCACTATCAGCGTTCTTGATCTTTCTGTAAATTTCTACTGCACAAACTGATTTTCAATTTTACTTTCAAAAGCTTAAGAACTTGTCCCGCAAATGCCCGGTTCCCCAAATGCACCAGTTCAGATGCCAATCGAATAGCTTTCTGTATAATTCAAAGTAAGTTTTCAAATGCATCCAGGCACCAAATCTTTACTGAGTGGGACGCTGCCGGGTGCAGGTGAGGCCAGGCTACAGTGGAGGCTGGGACAGAGCCCTTGTCCTCAGGGACTTTGGTCCAGGAAGAAATGCGGTACAACCACCCCCCCCACCACCACCACCACCATTATTATGGGAGATGCCAAGTGCTCTCGCTGGCGAGGCCGTGTGTTGGGCAGGGTGCTCCGACACAAAGAGAATTGGCCTCCCTGGCTCCCAGAACATTCCATCAAATGTATAAACCGGGAGTTGGAATGTTATTTGTCTTGGGGCTAGAAACTGGTCATCCATATTCATGAATATTTGAGAAACGATTTACTACCTGACTCTGAGTAGAAACTCTTGTTGAGTTCTCATTTATCCATCGTGGGCTCCTAAGGCTGTTCTGAGGTTGTGATTTTTTTGAATAATCACGTTTCATTCACTGGGGCATCCAAAGCCAACCCATCACTGGAGTCAGGAAAAGATTGAGTTACTTACGGGACAAGGATGAAGGACTGAGCTTTACCCATCTGGAGACAGGTGTCTAAGTAACTTATCCAAATCCCCACCTTAATTAAGAAAACCAGTGTAGCATCTGATACCGGACCCTTAAACATTTTTAACCATAAAGCCCCAATGCGGTCAATCCACTCCTGTTCTAAGAAAAGCACAGGGAAGTTCAGACTTGTACTTTACCAGCCCAGTGTTTTGTTATTGGAGACCCTTAGGGACAGCACCTCGAATTGAGTGGAGTGAGTTCCAAATGAGATACAATTCAGAAAATGGGGGCTTGTATGGGGAACATGGCAGGTATCTGATAGAGTCAAGCCCGTGGGTGATATTTTAAAGTTACAGTGACCTCTCAGAAGACCCTCAAACTGTCAGAAAAAAAAGCGAGTCAGCTCCCTAAGATTCACCAACGAGGTTTGCATTTGGTCTTGTTACACTACAAATTTCCATGTTTTTATTGGCAACATCACTGGAATTTAAATATCGAGTACCACCCCGAACTATATGCATGTAAAATATGGGAAAGCTAGGCTACGCCATTTATTTCTCCTTTAGTCTGCGAACTTGCGGACATTCAAATACATGCATCTGTAAGGACTGTAAACAAACCACAGCCTCCTGATTATTAAGGTTTCTCATCTGATCCCTGGCTGTACAGACGGCTTTTGGGGGAGGGGGAGGGAGGAGGAGGGATAGATTGTTCTAGGAGTGCAATGAGAGAATCCAGCCCCGGGAAAGTAACACGAATAAAACTTCTCAGCCAATGGCTTTCTTGGTGGGAGCACCACACTATGCATAAATGGCCGTCAATGTATTGATTCAGAATTCTTAGCGTAAATTATGCCTTGGGTTCAGCCACATCAGCTGTCTCCTCCCCACCCACCCACACGAACCTTTCCCCCCTGTCTCACTGCATGCTTCTTCCTGGCTTGGAGTTCCAGCCGCAAACCTGCAGAGCTGTGAATTGGGGGAAGGATGCCCCCATTGCATTCTGGGAGAGGCACACAAACCTTCTGTGTTTTCGGATCGACAATCTTATTTTTGTGCCTCATAAAACTACATTCAGAGCATAGCAGAATTAAAACAAGGCCAGAATTCATGAACAAATGAAGCATTTAGTGCATAGGTCAAAGAAAAGATAAATTATATGCCTGAAAGGTTTCACTGAGCTGTGATTCACACAAACTGTGTTGGCAGGGAGGAGATTTGTTTTTTCTTAATTTTTCCAGCCCCTCGACAATTGAACCAGAGCTATAAGATACACACTTAAGAGATTCATTGTCCAAAAAAAAAAAAAAAAAAAAAAAAAAAAACCATAATGAAAATTTGATCTTCATCAGTTTAAAAAAACACACTAAGTGTCTGTTGCCAACCAGTAATTCCAGAAGTGTCTTTGTGTTGGAGGGAAAGGGGAGGGGCGGGGCTTAACCTGTTACCAAGCACAGATTCAAGAGATCAGAACAAGAAGATGCCTTTCTTCTAAAGTTTTATTAAATCCTGCAACTGTTATTTAAACACCAACCTTTGCAAAGGTTTAAAAGATGAATCACAGTCTAGTCCTTCAAAGATCTAGTAAGAGACATAATTTTTTTTAAGTTTATTTATTTTGAGAGAGAGAGAGCATATGTTCGGGTACACATGCATGCACATGGGGGAGGGGCAGAGAGAGGTGGGGGTGGGGAGATCTCAAGCAGGATCGTGCACTGCAGGGCTCAGTCCCACGAACTGCAAGATCATGACCTGGGCCAAAATCAAGAGTCGGACCCTTAACCTACTGAGCCACCCAGGTGCCCCTTAAGAGACAATTTTTTACGGGAAGCTGTGATAAGTACACTGATCCCCAAATTCATGCAGGCTCCAGATATTAAGAAAAATACTCAGCTTTTGCTTCCTCGTGTCCTTTTCTCTCTTGAACACACTCCATTCAGGCTTTTCTCCTCCACATAAACTGTTCTTGTCAATGTGGCCAGGATGTGGCCTCCCCCAACCCTCAACGAGGCTGCCAAGCCCCGGACGTCTCAGGCCTATCCCACTGGACTTGCCAGCCACATCAGCGACCCTTCCTTCTGGAAATATCACCCTCACTTAGTTGCCAGTTTCTCCCCCTCGCTGATTAAGAAGTTCCTCAATCTCTTTTGCTGGATCTTATCTTCTGAACGTTGGAGTTCCCCAGAACTGAATTCTTAGACATCGTCTCTGACTAGTTATTTCCGTAGAGTCCCAAGGGTTTAGATGCAGCCCCCTGCTGACGCGCCCCAAGTTCATGTCTATAGCCTACACCTACTCCTCAAGTCCAGCCTTAAATATCCAGCTGCCTCTTGACACATATTCTTGAATTTCGACATCTCCATTCAAAGGTTCGCCCGACCTCAATGTGTGCAAAACTGAACTCCTCATTCACACCCAACAACAAGCAACAACATGCCTACCTGTGTGATCTATGGGCTTCCTCATTTCACGTAACGGACACTCCATCCTGCCACTGCTGTTTGGTGGTAGAAGTGGAAGGAGAGAACCAAGATTTCCAGAATCCTACATGGTGTAAAAGCAGGTATAAAGAAGCCTTGCAACCAAGCAGCTCACATTTCAACTCGGCCTCTGTCGCCTCCTGACTGTGTGACCTTGGACAAGTGACTACACCTCTCTGAGCCTCGGTTTCTTCATCTGTAAAATGGAAATAATAATAGTATTGAGCACAATTTCACATCGTTCACACTTGTGAAAATTAAATGAGATAAGCCATGTGGAGTGAACTTAGCCCAGAGATCTTGCATTTTGAGAAAAAGAAAATTCAGCTATTATTAATATCATGGCTTTCCTTCCCCCCCCCCCGCCCCGCCCCCGCCTGTGAATCAACATTTTTGTCTTTTATTCTGCCCTTCCTTAGTCCTCGGCCAAACCTCACTGAGATAGCACAGGTGAGTCTAATTTGAAAGCGAAATCACCAGAGGCGGAAGTCCAGATTTGGGTTAAAAACCAAAAAGGTGCAGGAGTTGTAAAATTATTTTAGAAACAATAGAAGTTCAATGCCCTTGCCTACAAGCTGTGGCTTCTTAGTGTCACGTTCAAGGGTCTCTACCAGCTTTCCCCTATCTTTCCAACTATATTTCCCACTATTCTCTTAAATGTACCCAGTCAGAACGGCCCATGTGTGACCTGCTTCTCTGCATTTTCTCCGCCTGGCTCTCTTTCTCTCTCTTTATCAAAAATTCATGGGGCGCCTGGGTGGCTCAGTTGGTTGAGCATCTGACTTCGGCTCAGGTCACTATCTCATAGCTCGTGAGTTCGAGCCCCGCGTCGGGCTCTGTGCTGACAGCTGG